TACATCCTTACCTGTTGGTATGAACATACACTCTGTCTTCCTTTCATTGTACTCCAGCCACATCTCCTCCTCCCATACTTTGCATTCATCCCATACCAACTCCCATCTACTCTCTATGCTATCGACGGAGTTACCTTCGATGGTACATCCTATCGATATGCAGAAGCTATCTTGTTACGGGGGGCAAATTTTATGGAATCATCTTTTCAATTATTTACAATGGCGATGCATAGACAATAAAAATGACCCCGGTAAGAATTTAGTTCTAACATTTAACACTGTTGCCGTTAGCTCTCAGTTCAATTTGTATATGAGTTACCTTCAATTGAAAATTGTTATACTATAGCTGAACAGTTTGCGTTCCACTCCACAGTCGATTTTCTAGGAAAGGCACCACCCACTATTCCCACACAAAAATCCATAATGCCGGAAATTACTTTTCAACAACGTCTAGTCAGGCGAATTTTGAAACAGCTCAATATCAACAAGGCGTCTGCTTCCGATGAAGTGCCCGTCATCGTACTTGAAAAGTGCGCAAATGAACTCGCACCAGTATTTTGCAGACTTTGCAAGCTGTCTCAAAGGAAAGGTTTTTTTCATAAGAAGATCTAGAAGTGATTTCGAATTGGGGTAAAAGTAACCAGGTTCAATTCAATGCCACAAAAACCCAGGCATCGGTTTTCTCCAAGAAGACGAATGTCCCCGAACCGGATATAATGATGTCAGGTCAGACAGTTCCGCTTTCTGCTTCGATAAGTTTGTTGGTGGGTTAAAAAGGACACCAATGTGTCTTGACACAATCATGTCACTGGAATTGCAAAGGCTGCTTCTCAAAAGCTTGGAACACTGTTCCGAACCAGAAAATTATACACACCTCAGTAACTTTTGAAGCTTTATGAAGCTCAGACCTGACCTTCTTTGGGGTATTGTTCTCATGTATGGAGCTCTGCCCCCAGGGTTCTCGAAGGCTTATGAACCCTATTAAAATAAATCAATTATGCATTCATAAGAAATTCAACGTTATATATTAGCCATATTGCCACCCAGTCAGCTGTCTCTCTTGAATGTATGAGACAATGTACTCTT